CGGAATTAAGATTTATAAAAATTAACAACAGAAGTACGACTGTTGTGGAGGAGGAACTGCTTTGTTTGTTCCTCAGGTCGCTTTGCCCCACAACAATAATAATTAAATTGTATCTCTGATCCGTGTCCTCAAGTATCTTCAGTGTGCGCTAGTTGGGTAATTATGCTGCCTGCAAATATTGCTAAATCTCCGACTTCGGCTGCTAGCAGACAGCGTGAGTGCCACCAAGCGTTGATTCTTAAGTCAGCTAACGTTGTTCCGCCGTACCAACCGCGGACCCACTCGTTGTGTCGCCGATTACCTCAACCTTGGGCAATATGACCTTTATCATACATGAATCCGCGCGACACGAACGAATAACGTCGAATATACTCGGATTCAAAAATGCATTAAAAAATAGTAAAAGAAAAGATGATCAGCTCCTCGTCGCTTCATCGTCCGTAGTCCGTTCGTCGTCGCGTCCACCGTCCGTCGTCGTCGAAAATGGTCGGAATGATAGTTAAAAGAAAGGAAGGAATAAGCGACGTCGTAACATCTGGATGTTGCTGATCCGGCATCTTCCTTTGTTGAAGACGAAAGTGCATGAAAAGGACAGTGCCGCGCGGAAGGAAATAGAGCATGCAAAGAAGTAAACACCCACATGTTACAAAAATACATAATTATTGAGAATATACAATTATTGTGTACAATTATAAATATACAATTGTTGAGAAATCGAGATTTAGCAATCTCGACAACGACAACGAACAAATCCGAACTTCGAGAGTAGGACTGGAATGCAATTTATTGCAGAAGTGCCAGATGCCAATCCCGGTGACTCCTCCTGAACACAGATGCGCCGTAAAGCACGCTGTTTGCCGTTTGGGGAGTGCTCGTTCCATTCATCTTCTGTAACAGCAAATCTTGCATACTTGTCGATTAGCTGATATTCGTCTTGATTTCTGGTTATGCACCATTTCATATGTGCTACTTCATCTGAAAATCCGAACAACTTAAGCGCCTTTCGACAATCAGAACAGTCACTACTGGCAGCAAACGCAAACATTTGCATATGTCGTGGACAACAGTATCTTCTCGCAGCTTGATTCTTGCCACGATAGCTCTTCTGGTTGTCCGCTCCAAAGAGTTTATACTAAATAAATATAGTTCTAGGCCGGCAGGATGGCCTGCAGCAACCGTCGCCCAAATCCCTCAATTGGGGGCAATACGTCGGCCCTCCTTTGACTGCTTAGCGAGTGCAGCTCCACGGCTCTTCCTTCACTTCGTTTTGGTGAGCACGGCCCGTCGGCTTTTTTGATTCCTTGAGCTCGGTTCGTCGGCTTGTATCGTCCTTATATCCTCAACATGGGTAATATAACCTTTATCAAGAAATGATAAGAAATCGAACGTAACGTAACGCGTAAATAAGGGCGAACACGTAATAAAATAACGTACATTACACAAATCGAAATATAAAACTAAAAAATCGAGTGGGGATGCAACCGACGTCCTGTGCCGGCTGTCCTTGTCCTTCCCCCCGCTCGTTGTTTCCAGTTGCTGTTGTCTTCGCTGCCGCCCGTCGCTGCCGTTTCCTCGCCACATGATGGCTGGCCGAAGGGTTTCGCTGTTGCTCATCGCGCTTCCCGTCGTCGCCATACAAAAACAAAGATAAAGTGCATACGCACTTTATATGCACACACAAAAAACACACATTTTTGAATTTGAAACAGATTGCATGAACCATGCTTCTCGAGAGAAAAAAAAGCAAAAAAAAAGCCTTTGTGTCAGGAAATTCATCGTGTTTGCTGCTATGATTTGG